ATGATTAAGGATTTATATTTTCATCCGTGGGTACTTGGTGTTTTTCAAACAAACAATATTAAGCATATACCTAAAAATAAAAACTTGAAACTTCAATTTAACATTTTTTTTAATTACCATTTTTTACATTTTTTATTTTTATTTATATTTATTTTTCGATGAATCAAGCTAATCTGTTGTGAAAACAGGAATTTGATTAAATTAAAAGCAGGTGTTTCTTGTTTGATCAAGTTCCACCATTTGACGTAAATTTCTTGTTTTGCCCGATCCTCATGTTTACTGATTTACGTTTAATGCGCAAAAAAAAAAAAATAAAAATAAAGAAAAACTTAATTTTTGCACAGCCATCTTGTCAATGAAATTTTTTTTTTTTTTTTAATTTCCTTTTGGGAATAAATGTTCCTAAAAGGTAAAAATCATTGAGAGAATGAAAGAGATTATTTTGAGACAGAAGTTCCTCTTTTCAGAGTAATAGTCATATAGTAAGTAGTATTGCTTTGGAATAATAAATCGTGAAACATCATCGCGAAATAACATAACTATTGTTCTGAACAATACATAATATTACCAAAACGGGTAACCGTAATAATGGATTTCAAAAAATTTTTGATACAAAGGAGATGTTGATCGACATCAATTTTGACCAAAAAGTTTTAACGCTGCAAATTAAACTCCGAGAAAGAATTTTTATTCGTAATTTTTCGTGAGAATTGATTTATTTTTAATTACTCTGGTGATACCGTGTATCGTGTAATATCAGTTGTTATCAATTATTAAAGAATTAATATTATTTTTTAAAAGAAAATAACGTAAAGTAAAACAAAAACGTTGTGAATCATTTCGGCCGTAAAGTAATAATATGTGATTTATTTTTTATTCAAATTATTCAAAATAGGAAATCGCGATGAGAGTACAATCTCAATTTAGCTCAATTTAAGCGTTATTAAATTTTTGAGATTGATTTGCATTTAGATTAACCTATTATAGGTTAAATGGAGGAAAAATTCAATAATTTGTTTTAATAATTAAAGGTGGTTTTTTTTTTTTTTTTTTTTTATCAAATAGGATTTTGTTTATTCCGTAAACTAACAAGTTTGTTAAAACAGAATTTTTGTGTTTTCAAACCTTCCAAATGAAATGAATTTCATACAAAACTCTTTAGGTTTAGCTTGACAAGGTGAAAGAATTATCAAACGAGGCTTAACTTCTCGTGGAACGTTTTAATGAAGATTTTCGGAATGATATGGCCGATGCGTTAATGAAGGAAAACTCTTAAAAAAGGAAACCCTCTCTTTATTTAATTTGTGAACTTTTTAAAGTAAAGGCATGCATAAAGGTTTCTTTCTAAAAAAAGGATTCCGTAGATTTCCCCCTTACGATGAATAAACAAATATGGTATATATACGCGACTATTGATATAATGTCAAAAATCGATAGGCAAACAATACGGGCAACATAAAAAAAAAAGTTTTTCAATTGATTTTCAATGTTTTTTTACACAAGCTATGTCAAAATAAGCAGGGCTATTTATTTACTTTTGAACTACAAATATTTCATAAACCCTTGAATTCTGATCATAACTTGTTATTCATCGTGATAAGTCTTTTTTTTTTTTTTTTTTTTTTATGTATATACAGTGTATATTTGTATTAACGTTTCCATGATTAAATTTGTACCTAAAATCTTATCGTTAATAGATTTTCATTAGTATTTATTTACCGATAATCAAAAGTTCATGTTGTACAAAGAACGCCCTAGTTTTAAGGTTTGGGAAACTCAAATGTTTCGGGTTTGGGGTTGCATGCTAAAGTTGGCTGAAATTGTGAAATCCCTTGGATTTTGGTCTGGTAAGTTGTTAATTCGTATCTTGAGCAAATCATTGATGAGAAATTTTTGCGTCATGAAATTGTGTTGATTGCATCACGAATTATAATCGCGAGTTGAAAATGCTCGAGAAATCTTTTTTGAAATTTCTGACCAACGTCACATTGAATATGATCACGTGTTTGAATCATCCATCATCCGCTGTAAATATTTTTTATTTCTTCGAAACTTAAAAATCTTAATTATTAAAAAAAAAAAAAAAACATATATGTTCTTACAATCTTATAAAATCTTAATTAAAACTTATTAGCCGTATATATATATATATATGATTTGTACATTTTTTTTTCTTATATGTGTCCCCATAAAATATTCGAAATATTAATTACGATGTTCAAGAACTAATTTTTCCGAAAAAGAAACAACGAAACGAATAATGGTGGAAATTATTTATCCATTAATTATAATGGATGTAACGATCAAAGATTTGTTCGTATGGATCGGTCAAACTGGAGCGATCATCAAAAATGATAATTAAATCGTCGCTCTCGGTTAATGGTTGTGTCATCGATCCAATACGTATTAACCTTTCATCGTTTGCGTACTTAATGAAAGAATTTTTTATGTGATTTGGAAGTGACTTCCAAAATTTAGCGGCTTTGGCAATCCATTCTCTCTGCGAGCGACAATTTTCGTACTCCTCCTGAAACGTTTCTTTATAAAAATTACAAAAAGTTATATAACCATTTTCAATGGTTATTTTTTTTGAAGAGGTAGGGGGAGGGGAATTGGGAAGAATGAACTTGTTTTTCATGACGATGAAATATATGTTTAAAAATGTTACGTTAAAAAAGAGAAGCGTTCCCAGTAACCGATGAAATAAATATGTCTTGGAAATCGTTTATATAGACATTTTTTTATTTTCATAAATAAGTTCTCATGTAAGAGTTTTCCCCGAATTATTTTCACCAATTGAAGAATAAAAGAGAACGTACGACTTGCTCATTATGTTTTCGTTGTTTCGAAAAATGGAAATAACAATAATAAAAGGAAAGAATCATTATCATTAAAATAAAAAGAAAGAAAGAAAGAAAAAAAATTTTTTGCTTGAAAGTACATTGTCAAACGCGTCAAAAGAATGCATACCCATAATACGTGATTTAAAATAACAAAGTCGGATGGAAAAAAGAAAAATCTTGCAGAGATGAAGGAAAGTGATCGAGAGCCGGTTAAGGAAACTAATGAACAATCATTTTTCGTGTTCACATATCCTTATTACTTACATCATAGATGATGTTATTTATCATATGATAAATGTTGAAGAATCCGAGTTAATCAAATTTGTAAAGAGAGAGGAGAGAAATTTTTTTTTAACAAGGAAAAATTCTTTAAATAGCAAAAGTACCCGGTGATGCAATTTGCAAGTTGTTCGCTTGTTAAACACCTTAAATTGATTTTAATCAAAACAATATAGTCATAAAGGAAAGGGTCTAGTAAGAATTAGTAAGGATAATCTTTTTTTCATACTTGACGTGGTTAGAAAGTCCAAGTTTATTAAAGTTAAGAGTTGGGATATGCTGATTTTTTTCTGATTGTTTTCTCTTTTACTCAGATGGGTAAATATGTTTGCAAATCACATTTGATGCAGGACGCAGGAGAGAAATTCCGATCAAGCCACGTTTTTTTATACGAACAATTCTTGTATGACGAATTTTTCAAAATGAACCGAAATTAAATTGCCACGTCCAGATTAAGCGCGTGGCGCATCGGAAAGGGGAGTGATAATTGGAACGAGTTTATCGAATCGAAATGCGGGCGCACTTTACTTTTTTATTTTATTTTTATTTTATGTTTGGCTCTTTGATAAAAAATGGTTAATAAGTCTTTTTCGCTGGATATGACGACATTATTATATGTAGACGCTCTGAGTTTAAACACCGTGAAAGAAAAAGAAGCTCATGAAATCTAAATCCCGTTTATTATTTACGAATTTGAAAGGAAAACAAGATTCATCATACCGCAGTAAATTAAAAAAGATTTGATTTTTAAAAATTTTTTAATAAATTTATAAATAAAATTTTTTCAAAAAGGTATTTTTTTTTTTTTAATACGATACCATTCAAAAAAAAAATAATGATTATAGTTTGACCATTGAGGCGTTTTTACAATGTTCCTTTGATGACCTTTTGAAGAATATCGGGGATTGGCTGCTGATCAGATGCAGATTGTCACAAGAAATTGTGATCTTTGGCCAAAGTTATCTGATAATTAAACTGCTTTTAAACTCAAACTTTAAGCGTGTCCTAACTTTAATTAGTTACCTTTTAGGACGGAGTTTTCAATATCAAAAGAATTTCAAGTTTCTGCCTTTTGTGTTGATCAAAGTAATAATTTGTTAAATGCGCCACTTCACCCTTTGTATTATTATTTTATCACGATGATATACATCGAACAGAAATCGAAAATTCTTTTTTAAAAAAAAATCGATTTTAAAGCGTTCGTTGATTCTTTAATTACGCGTTTATTTTATGATCTAATATCGTATATGAAACAAATTAATAAAAAAAGTTTTTGAACAACTCATTATGGTAAAATTACTATATTTTCCAACTTTTACTTTATGTTCACGTGTGTATGGAGAATCTTTTGCATAAAGGACGACATTGGGATCTCTTTGAATTCCAAGTTTCTTTGAATGCTATAAATAACCTTATCATTATACGTTGGAACTTTGCTATAAATAACCTCATCATTATACGTTGGAATAATGTAAAATACCATAAGAAGAAATTTTTAATTTATCGCGAAATAATATGTTTCATGATTTCATGGGAAAATGAAAAAGATCCTTGTATTCCATTTTTCATACAAACCTTTAAATTGATGCATGGTTCGATATATCAACACGAGGTGATTACAAAAAAAAAAAACAAATTAATTTCTCCCAAACCTTTCTTTTGGGCTTTTCTTTTCCATTTCAGTTCAGGTGATGTATTTCCGAACGAACAATTGCAATTTTACGGATGATAAAAAAGTTTTGATTAATAAATTGCTTTGCTTTTATATATGATCCAAAGGTTATAAATAATTCAAATTCCCATTTTTTTTTTCATTCAGATCGTTTCAAAGTTATATAATATATACATCCTTTCCCATTATCTTTAAAAATAAAAAAAATGCCACAATACAAGTCTCGTAAAATGACACGTAGAGGTCCCAATGCATGGATCTTGTATTCGAATTGGTTCTGCAAGAATAAACGTGAAGCCGGTCTAATGATTAAAAAAAATGAGGCCATAAAACTGGCAAAAATAGAATGGGAGAAGATGGAGACCACTGAAAAACAAAGGTGGTTTATAAAGGCAGATCGCATCAGAATAATCTGTCATCTTATCCCTCAAATCGACCATCGAAACATTGCCAATACTGAATACGTTAGTAATTTTGATGGGCCTTTTATTATTGAAGACTTATCACCTACCTCGGATATGAATCAGTTAAATGCTAAAAATATCGTTGCTCAGATTGAAGATGAGAGTAAGAATGAAGAAGAAATTTTCAAATTTATGTATGAAAGTTTCATTAATGATGAGTATTGCGAATAATAAATTCACTTATATTTTTTATACATAGTTAAAGGAATGAATTATTTATGTAAAGTTTTTTTTTTTATGCTTCTATTTTTACGTTAGAATTTATAGTTGCAAATTATGCAAATAGAAATTTTCTTTTTAAGAATTATAAGGGTTATAAGGACAATTTTTCATGAAGTATATAGAAAAAAAAAAATTAAGAATTATAAATAAGAATTATCAAGGACATTTTTATTTAAAGAATTATAAGAAGGAAACATTTTCTATATGTAGGAAAAAAAAAAATTTTTTTTAAGAATTATAAGAATAATAAGAATAAATAAGGGAAATTTTTAAGATAAATTAAATCAAAAATTCGCCATAAGGAATATTAACAAGTCCACCATCGTTTTTGTCATATACAATTTTCCCCCTAACAATAGTTTTATGTACAACACCAAAAATTTGTCTACCAAGATATGGAGTTACTTTATTTTTAAAATGAATGATATCATTTGTAACCTACACAAAAAATAAATAAATAAAATTATGATTAACTGTCTTTTATTGAATAAAATAAAATAATAAATGCGGCTTACTTCAAATTTTTCTTCGGGATTCCAAATTACCAAATCGGCATCAAACCCAACTTTAATTTCACCTTTTTGATCCTGTAATCCAACTTGCTTTGAAGTATTCTTTGATAACCAAGTGGTTAATTGGTTTAAACTAATTTCAAATAATCTTAGCGATAAATCTTTTTTAAATTAAGCAAACATATTCATTTAATAATTTATTACCTGACACCTCTGTTTTTTGCCTCAGTCCATAATAACGGCAACCCAAATTGTAATGTTGAAATGCCACCCCAAGCTTTTATGAAATCTCTTTCTTCCTCTTTATCATTAAATCTCTTTAATTCGGCTGTACACGGTGAATGATCTGATACTACATAATCAATAGTTCCATCCAACAACGCCTTAAATAAAATAGTAATTAAATCAATTTAACAAATTAATATTTCCCTTATCCCATACCCTAAAAGACAAATAAGAAAAATACTTCACCTGCCAAAGTTTCTCCCGATTACTTTTTTCGCGAATAGGAGGGCAGCATTTAAATTCTGTTCCTCCATTAGGTATTTCCTCAGCAGTTAAACATAAATAATGAAAGCAAGTTTCCACTGTTAAATTATTCCCATCAGATTTAGCTTGTTTAATTAATGGTATAGCATCTGAAGCTGATAAATGTACAATATGAGTTCTTATATTTTTATATTGCTTGGCAAGATCTATTACTAATGATATAGCATTTACTTCAAGTGATTGTGGCCTACTCAATAAAAATTTTTCATAATTTTTAGGTGGAATTTGTTCATAATATTCTTTTAATTCTGTTTGGTGAATATTAGTATTGTTTCCTTCCATTTCTGCATGAAACATGACAAATGAATTTTGCCCCTAAATTGATAAAACATTACATTAACTTTGTTTTGTTCTTGGTGGATGTCATCAAATATAATGATTACCTGCAATTTTTCGAATGCTTTTCGAACGTCTTGTTCGTTTACACGAGGAAATTCTTCAACCCCACTATCGATCAAAAAACATTTAAATCCTTTTACACCTTCCTTTACTAACGGAACTAGATCATTCTAATAATAATAAATAATGTTCATAAATAGTAATGTTAAATGATGTCATTTAAAAAATAATAGGACCAACCTCATTTTCTGGTATTATACCGCCAAAAAATCCGACATCCACCCAACATTTTCCTTGTGCAGCACGAATCTTTTCTTGTAAATTATGAACATTCGTAGTAGGAGGGATTGAATTCAATGGCATATCAATCACAGTTGTTACACCACCTGATAAAATATTAAAAAAATGTTGGTGTGAAAACTTAAAAACTTTAATTGTAGAGAGTTGAATTGATGTGATACCAGCTGCTGCAGCTTTAGTTCCGCTTTCAAATCCCTCCCAATCAGTTCTGCCAGGTTCATTTAAATGTACATGGGCGTCAATTACACCAGGCATGATAACGTTATTTCCAACGTCAAAAAATTGATTCTGATCATTATAATCGTTAATTGATGCTTTAAAAGAATGAACTTTTATGATTTTTCCTGTAATTTTATCGATTTCAATTGTACCAGGTGTAGTTTCAATCGAGTCTGGGAAAAGAATTCGAGAACTACTAATGATCAAAAGTTTAGTTGACATTTTGAGGGAGCTGTGGGGTGCCGTGGGATCGTTTTATATATCTTGGGTCAGGGGATTACTAATTTTGGGAATCTTTAAAAAATCTCACAAAATACGCCAATCGTTCACATGCACGTGCGTGAAGCGTGTGGCACAGCAAATTTCGATAAATAATTACCTGGACTTTAAGTATTTAATTCATTGTGATCATTTAAAAACTATTATTAATATTAATAATTGTATAATTGAAATTAAAAATTCATGTAAAAATTACTGATTATGACGCCATAAGAAAACGGCAAAGATGGTAAAGTCGCAATAATTAAAAAGAATTTTAAGTTATCCAATATATAAATAATAATTTAAAAAGTTATTTTTACGAAAATATTACATACATATTATTTAAAAATTTTTAAAATATATAAAATATTTAAAATTTTATATATTAAGAGTAAATTTATTCATCGCAGGCGCGATATCATCGCCCCTTTTTTCACCCGTGTCACACCCCCACCCTTTTTCATTTTTCATATATATTCTGGGGACTTAGAATTTTTTTCATGTGTGAAACCCTATTTGTCACGTACGTTAGTATCACATGGTTTAGTGTTAGGCGATGTATAAGGAGTACCGCCTCCCGCGATGAATAAATTTACTCTTTTTTTAAATATTCTTAAAAATATTAAAATAGTTTATTTATTATAGTAAAATAAAATTTTTATTTTTATTAATTAATTAATTTAAATAATTTTTTAGTTAGTTCTAGAGGTCAGTTGCCCAAGTATCTGATACTGTAGCTCATACGTCTATATGTCAGTTGTATATAAAAACAAACTCCTTTTTGCTATTTTTTAAACCAATCTGAATTGCCAGTACCACTAGCCATCGCGATAAGCTATACATTCTAAATGTCACATGGCTAACCCCTAATGCTGTCAGTACAATAGATTACTGAAAAGAGAAGTATTTATTAACCTAATTCAGAATAGTTGCCTGACATAGTTAATACATCCAGACTGTCAAAATCACCTTGAGAATTGAACTCAAACCTCTCAAACCCTAATTTAACCATAGATGCTATAGTGTTTCAACTAGAAACTACCTGTAACCTATGATTATTATTCAATCCAAGTTATATAATGTTTACTATTGACCCATCATATCCCGTTATCAGGGATAACCCCTTGCAAACGATGCAGCACTTGCTCATTACAGGTCAGCTTCCTAACACAAGTTCTAAACTCAATCAATTTTATGTATACGTGATTACTTGCATAGCTACATGGATTTATTAAATTCTACAAGTTTATAATCTTCAACACATATAGGTTTTACAAATCCTATGAAATTTATTCTCAGAATCGAACTGGTAAAATCTGCAGTAAATTAATATTATGATTTGCATTTAGCTGATGCTAAACTAGAATCTATCATAGTAATACCTATTGATAGGGACTCTTGCCTTACGATAAGCGTTAGGAATGCCAATCTCTTTTAAATAATTATAAGAATTAATAATTATATTTTCATAATATTTATATTTTAATTCTATTATAAATAGTTATAAAAAGTTAAATTTATTAAACAATAAAAATATTTAATTAATAAATATATTATTTAAAATAAAACTTTAAGAAATATATTATATTAAAAATATAATAATTATTTATTATTAAATAAATTATATATTTCATCTTTCTTTAATTCTTTTTAAACTTATTATAATATTATTTTCCTTTATTAATTAATTTGTCTAATGCTTATATTAGATTTAAATTAATCATTTAAATTATAAACTAAATGTATCTTTAAGAAATATTTTAGGTAATACAAAGTAATAAAATTGGTTTACATATCTAAAATTAACTTTGTATAACCTATCTACTCAGATTTTTGTTTTTAAAAGAAAAAATTTTTTAATCAATAAAATTATTTTTATTGTTTTATAATCTGACTACTCAGTTAAATTTTATATATTAAAAATTTTTTGTTCTGCACATTCATATAATAGATTATTTATATGTATAATTAAAAATAAAAGTCAAATCAAGTTTAATAAAAAAGAAAAATAGTTATTAATTCAATATTTCTTTATTAATGAATAATTATAGTATCTTGTTTATGATATTCAGATGGTTTATCTAGCCTATTTTATTCAATAATATTATTATAATAAACTAATCCTATTTATTTAAATAACTTTAGTTAACTAAATTCTACATGAGTTTATACTTTTAAAGAATTAAAGATCATTAGTATTCCTTTTCTAATTGTGTTTCTAAGTGATTTTCTTTTTTGATTGCACCTTTAAAAATGACTTTATCTTTTCTAACTACGCTTCTAAAAATGATTTTTTTTTCTGACTGCTAGGGTTGAAAAAGTTTTAAGTCTTGGACCTAAAGATTCAGTCCAGAAACCAGGTCTGCGGATCTTTGGGTTTGATTTTTTAGACTGATAAAGACCTAATCTTAAATAAGTTTAAACTAATCAAATGTCATCTTTAATTATTATCTATATTTTACTAGATAATTTTAATAAATACCTTTTTAATTAATGATTTTCAATTTTTTTAACAAACTAGCCTTATAAATATTACGCGTATCTGATCAATACGTCAATTTACATTTTATTTACATTACATAACTATGAGTTTTGAAGACCCTTTTAATGAAAGTTTTAGTTCACTATTTATTCTTCGTATTGATTTAGATATTGATGAAGTTGATTTAATTTCTCCTGAAATTTTATTAACTGATAAAACTTTAACTACAATAACTATAATATCTGATATAAATTCACAAAATTTACAAAATTCACAAAACTCGCATAAAACCTCTACTTTATAGAATTATATAAATACCAAAATACAAAATAATCCAGGAATACATATTTATAAAGAATATAATTATGTATTTTCTTCTTAAACAGGTAATTTTAGTATAGAACGTTATCTTTATAATAAGCATAATATAACAATTTCAAAGGTTAAAAAATACAAACAGCCTTAAATTTTAAATGTAATACTCCATGGCCTGCTAAAGAAAAATCTAAATAAGACCAAGTAGTTGTTACTTGAATAATTGTTAATCAATAATCCTTTAAAGTAGTTGAAAATGAAAATTTTATTAAAATGATAAATACATTAGATCTGCGCTATAAAGTTTCTAACCATCATCAAGTAAAAACAATGGTAATTCAAGAGTTTGATAATCATCATTTAAATCTTAAACATGATTTACATAAAATACCTGATAAAGTAGCATTTACTGCTGATATGTGAATATCATTGAATAGCGAATCATATCTTAGTTTAACTATTCATTATATTGATGAAGATTGGAATTTTCAATGTTTTTTGCTTGAGATTATTCCTTTTCAAACTCAGCATATAGGAATTAATATAGCAAATGTGATTAGTAATGTTCTTAATGAATTTAATTTAGTAAATAAAACTTTAGCACTTACAACAGACAATGAATCAGCAATAGTAGTTTGTGAAAAAATTGGCTGAAGAGTTTGAATAAGCTTTAAACAATTTTTCTTTTAAACATTATCGTTATTCAGCTTATATTCTTAATCTTGCAACTAAACATGATATGGAAGTAATTGATAAAGAAATATTAAATATACAAAAACTAATGATAAAAATCAAAAATTCCGTTTTATTATGTGATGATTTACGCGAATTGTATATTGTAGAAAAACTTGAGTATCTTCAACCTGAAGTAGATATAGAGACAAGATGAAATTTCACCTATTATATACTTCAAAAATTACATCGAATGGAAACAGAATTAAGGATGCTTGCAATTAAGCATATACAGTCAAGGTTGGATATAACGATGCTATTATATAACGATAATGTCTTATAATAATAAAAAACCTTTTGCCCAAAATAATTATAATTAAATTAGTTTTATATACCGATTTTAATTAATAAATCTCTTTATTTTATTTTACGATAGATATTACATATACTTCTAATATAAATTAGTATCACGTTATAATAATATTTACATATAACGATATAAAATCTATATGGAATGATATACAATATCACGTGATTTATGATGCAGTGTAAAAAAAATTTTTTTTTTAGTATAAAAATTATCGCAAATATTTTTCTCTCCTAATTTTTTTTAATGCATGTATATTCGGTGAGCAAAATATAGATGGCGTATTGGACATCAGGGAAAATTTTTAATTACTTTTAAAAAAAAATCCATGGATTTTTTTTTCAAAAAACAACCTGATTAACTTTTTTTCAAAAAGTAACCTAACAACCTTTTTTTGAATAACCCTGGATGTATTTTTTTAAACTTTTTATAGATTTTTTTTTAAAAAAATTCCGTTAATTTTTTTAAAAAAAATAACCCAATTAATCTTTTTTTAAAAAAACCTAACCTTTTTAATTGTATATACTACCCCGATGAATTTTTTTTCTAAAATTTTTAGATATTTTTTTAAAAAAAAAATTCTGAATTATTTTTTCAAAAAAACAACACGATTAACCTTTTTTTTTCAAAGAACCTAACCTTTTTAATTATATAAGCAATACCGATAAATTTTTTTTTTTAAAAAATTCCAGTTAATTTTTTTTCAAAAGCAATCCGATTCAAAAAGTAACTAACAATTTTTTATTACTTAAGCATAACCCGATAGATTTTTTTTTAAAGCTTTGATTATCCTCTTTTCAAAAGGTAACAAACATCTTTTTTTATTGCATAAACACAACCCGATGGATTTTTTTTAAAGAAAATCCAGTTAATTTATTTTTTATAAAAGTCAATTTGATTAACTTTTTAAAAGATAACCTAATAACCTTTTTAAACTTTTATAGTTTTTTTTAAGAAAAGCTGATTTTAAAAAGTGTTAAAGATTACAATTTTTTTTAAAATAACTCTGATAATTTTTTTTAAAAAATAAATGATCATGATCACAAGGTATTTAATTTTACCATTTTTGTATTTTGTGTATTTTAAATTTAAATTTATATTTTAACGCATTGAAAATTTTAAATA